TTTTTTTTTTTTTTTTTTTTTTTTTCATTTTTTTCATTTTTAATTCATTTTTAATTCAATGGCTTTGCTCATTATCTGAGGATATTAATCGAGCCATTCACGTGCCAGATCGATTAACTGCGTGAGGCAAAATTTGGAGAAAAGTGACAAAGTATAGAAATGGAACATCGTGGAATGTATTATCACATTTGCCTAGATTTCATCGGAGGTAGAAAATATATAAGAAAATAAATATAGAGTATTAATATAAATAAATATAAATATAGAAAATATATAAGAATAATTGCATGAAGGAAGTTAATTTGGCAAAAGACAATAATCCTATCGAATTCAACTTGCAAGAAAATCTTTCATTACGGATTTGTAGAACAAATTAATGATAATAGTCATTGTCAGTGTGATTGAATTGTCGCATACATTCAAGAACCCTGTTCGATGCTCTTAAATTTCTATAATAATCATGTTTATTAGGAATTTCAATTTTCTCTACCATGCCTATAGACTTTCCCATATAAATGGCACTAAATTCTGTGTTTTTGTTAAGATTATATTTCACGACATTTTTTCCCCCAATTTTATCCAATTCAATTTATTAATTTTGCAATTTACTACCGATAGAATTTTCTAATCTATCTCTGTTGAGAGAAGTGAAACATATTTCGGACTTCTATATTTTTTATGTTGCGTCGAAAACTTAAGTTAACTCTTACATTCTTACGAAGTTGTTTGAAGGGCCAAGGAAAGCATGATCGTTAAGTTAAATCGGCGTTCGAACCGATTATCAAGGAAATTCACTTTGAGTATGAAAAGTGAAGAGTCAATCGGCTGCTTCGACACTAAAGAAAAAAACTTCAACAAGTTTCGAATTTGGCAAGTGAGATGTTCAAATGAACTTTTAATCCTTGTCCACGAAACATGGGATGTTAATTTTGTTCGGGCACGAACAAAATGAAAATTTACGTTATCAATTTTGGTGAAGATTGATTTTTTCGACGCTGCTCGAATCTATCGAGGTTTCATTGCACGACAAAAAAAAAAATCTGTTTCTTTTTCTTTACTTGAATGACAGGTTTTATACACGTTCATACTCTTGTTTTATCATAATCGTGTCACGTGAATGCAAAATGCCTGGTCCGATGTTAACGACAGTGACGAAGGAATTGCCAATCGCAATTAATTGCTTTAATGAAGCTTCGTGCCTGTTCGAGAAAACGCATTGATTACGTTTGATCCAAGAGTATCCATCTGAATGTTCAGACAATCGACGATTTCAACCAATTGGTCCAATTTGTTGTAGCTAATTCTAAAAAAAACTCTGTTTATCCGGAATACGAAAGGAAGGATAAATGTCGTGGCCTTTATCAGGCCACTGTTTTTTTTTTTTTTTTTTTTTTTCGATTTTCGCCAAGATGGCTTCCGCGGAATTATCGACAAACAGATCGAGTCGATCGTTACGTGAGTATTCTGTTGCCTCAGAACAAATTCTTATGGACACTTGGAACAAGTTCAACAAATTAGCAAGCAAATGAGAATAATAAGCCTTTACTTTCTAATTATTTGAATTAATCGATCAATTCAATTAACATTAAATTTGATGTAATTTTATGATCTGTATGAAGTAATAAATATCTCGTACATCTTTAAATTTGTTTGAATATTTACCAGAAATGGTCAAACAAAATCTTTTGTATAGTTTTGTACGATAGTTAGAAAAAGTTTCTACACTTTGCTCAGCTACTGCGATCTGTCACTTTAAAATTATTTATACGTGTAAGAGAGAGAGAGAGAGAGAGAGAGAGAGAGAGATTTGATTAAAAGATAAGTTGACTCACTCGATCGCGCACGAAGGATATCGATAAAATGCTTCCTTTCTTTCTTCCACAGAGATTTTCTAAAAAAAAGTCGCAGACAACAAACCTTGATAACGAAGCGAGCCGCGATAAGGACTTAGTATTTATTTACTAAAATGTTAATTCTTCTGTTATGGTTGTTCTCGCTTACTGACTGAACTCGAGGTTCACAACGATCAAGCGTTTTTTTCTTTTTTTTTTTTTTTTTTTTTTTTTTTCTATTTTTCTCTTTCAGTGTCAATGAAACAGAAGCTTGAATGGCCAGCGATCGAAATCAACAGGCTCTTTTCGTTTCTGAAAAAATTTATATATGTATTTTATATGAAATATTTCATATTTCATATTAAATATTTCATAATTTATATGTGTATTTTATATTAAATATTTTATATAAAATAAAATAGAAAATTTTAATAGAAAGGAGCGTTACATTTGGCAATACATTTGGCAATACTTTCGCAGTGATATTTTAAAATAATAAAAGTTCCATAATTTAATTAAAAAAATTAAATTTTTATATTCGAGAATTATTCGTCGAACAGTATTCAATGCCAAAAAGTATTTGTTGGAAACAATTTTTCACATTGACGAACGGATTATCCGTTGCTCCGACAGGAAAAGTTTTATTTTTTACATTTCTAAAAAAACATGTTTTTTCTGTCAATTCTGATGGTGACGTGAATACATTTTTCCGACAAAGATCCATGTTTCAAAATTCCTCGATTTTTGTTCGATCGCCGATCCACGACGACGAGCAATGTATGTTGCTGTGTCGAAAGCTGTGCAAAAGTCGGAGGTTATTATTTTTCGAGAAACTCTTCGTCGCTCCTCGTTATCGTCTCTGCGTGAAATTATAAAAAAAAGTATTAAACGTGATGACAAAGAGAGAGAGATATATATATAAGAATTAATAAAGATTACTTTAGTCGTAAAGTTTGAGTCATAAACTTATCAATAGACTGCGTACTTTTATGCATTTTCTTTTAAATTATGGACAAATTTGTTTCATCTATCGTTTCAAATACTTATTAGCGATTGTTTCCCATGAAGATCCCCGAGAAACGAGAAATCTTTCGGTATTGACACAGCTGTTTTCTCGATCTGCTCGCGAGTCGTGGTAATTGTCGATACCGATCGTGGAGGGGGGGGGGCCACGATATTAAAAATCCATTGGCACGAGATGGTTATCGATACGAGGGCTGGTTATCGATTTTGGGACCGTGTCCATATCGTCAACAGGTTTTTATCTATCCACGCTTTCTACCTCGGCAATGCCGGTAGCACGCGGAGTCCGCGACCTCGCGAGCTTATCGCGGCCTCTTAAGTGGGCCTATCGGGCTTCGTCGTCGACGAGTTCTGTCGCAAGAATCCGTGGAATGCGTGAAACAACACATCGGGGAAGCTCGTCTTCCCTCACCGTTTGCCTTCTCTATAACTGTGAATCCGATTCCCTGGCCAGATAAACCGGCCGGTTAATCGGCTTCAATACAGGTTCCAGCGAAAGTGCTGGAAATCATCGAGATAAAGGAGAAAACGAAACGATCCAGGCAGTTAAGATAGCGCCGTGTGTGTCGTCACAGGAAGAAATAACTAAAATACTGTGAAATGAAAATAATTCAACTGTACTCTAAGCATTTCGAAGACAAGAATATATATATATATATATATATATATATAATTGAATGATTTGAACGGGGGAGATAGTTCGACGCAGTAACAAACGTATGAAACTCTCAGTTCAATCCTGTTGTATTTCATTTGTTAAAAATTGTTACAAATCTGTCAATTTTATTGCACGCTTGTCGGCGAATTGGCGTGCAACAGGGCGGAAAGTAGTAGTGTCCCGTTTCTACCGATCCGTAGCGTTGTTACTTGCCTCTACTACTTGGATCTCGGCAACTCGGATCGCCTTCGTTTCGGCGGATGGAAAGTGATTTTCACCAAACTTCGTCCACAGCAGAAATATTTGTAAGCGTGCAATGCTATAGAAATTTTAATAGCAACCAAGAAAGAGAGAAAATTATTTAATTACTCAACTATTATAATATTCGCTTAAAAAAACTATCTTGGTCTCACTGCAAAAGAGTAGAATAAGGCGCGTATGCTTCTGCATACGAGTTACTTCCGCGCGTATTGAATG